TTTGAGATTTTTACTCTTTTCTTGTTACATTCGTAACTTTTATGTCCTTCACCACAGTTGTAACATTTACATTTTTCTGTTGGTTTTGTTTGCTTGAAATTGTTTTTCCTTTTATAATACCTTCTTTTAGGTATATAATTTTGTTTAGAAACGTTTTTTCTTTTGATTAAGCTTTTCTTAATCTTTTTTCTTCTTTTGTAGGGTTTGTCATTACTACATCCCCATTGGGTTGCTGCATTAGTATCTAGACAATAAATTTGTGTATTTATTCTTTTGGCTTTTCTTTGTATGTTATGTGTCATACATAGTTGACCAAGTCTATTTTTTAGGAAAGATATTCTTTGTCCAAGAGTATCTCCTTTAATGTTTTCGTTGTCATATTCTTCTCTGAAATATTTGGCCCAAAAGCCTGGTAATTTCTGATAGTACTTTTCTAATACGGTTGCTATTACTTTGCTTCTTTGTCCAAGAGTATCTCCTTTAATGTTTTCGTTGTCATATTCTTCTCTGAAATATTTGGCCCAAAAGCCTGGTAATTTCTGATAGTACTTTTCTAAATATGGTTGCATTTCTTTGCTTCTTTGTCCAAGAGTATCTCCTTTAATGTTTTCGTTGTCATATTCTTCTCTGAAATATTTGGCCCAAAAGCCTGGTAATTTCTGATAGTACTTTTCTAAATATGGTTGCATTTCTTTGCTTCTTTGTCCAAGAGTATCTCCTTTAATGTTTTCGTTGTCATATTCTTCTCTGAAATATTTGGCCCAAAAGCCTGGTAATTTCTGATAGTACTTTTCTAAATATGGTTGCATTTCTTTGCTTCTTTGTCCAAGAGTATCTCCTTTAATGTTTTCGTTGTCATATTCTTCTCTGAAATATTTGGCCCAAAAGCCTGGTAATTTCTGATAGTACTTTTCTAAATATGGTTGCATTTCTTTGCTTCTTTGTCCAAGAGTATCTCCTTTAATGTTTTCGTTGTCATATTCTTCTCTGAAATATTTGGCCCAAAAGCCTGGTAATTTCTGATAGTACTTTTCTAAATATGGTTGCATTTCTTTGCTGCTATCAAATACTTTGTAGTAATATTCTTCAAATTCACAAGTGTATTCTTGGATATAACTCATTTTGCAGATTTGCAATTTTTCCAATTGTTCTCATTTTTTCTCTATTTTCCGTGGTACTTCCTTCACCACCTAAAAATTCATTTGCTACATATTGTACTAAATTTTTTATTCCTTCTTGGAGGGATTTTTTAAATCCATCTAAGATATTGTTTTTGATGATCTCTTTTGCATCATCTGTTAATCCTGTGTGCCAATTGCTTACTTTTCCTGTAAAGGTATTTATCATAATGATGTATTTTTCTTCATCTGTATAATTTATTCCTTTTCCGAGTAGAAAATAAAGGAATATATTTTGAGACCATAGATCTACGTCTATTTCTGGTTCTCGTTTACAATTTAAATCTAAGAATTGTGTTGTTCCTACATCTCTTGTTGGGAGTCTGTTAGGCATGAAATGAGCTTTATTGCTATTATGATATTGTTTCATGAAGTCTTTATTCTTTTTTGCTTTTTGAGCAAAATTGCTTTCCTTTTCTTCTGGTTGGAATTCTTCTTGTATGGATTTTGATCCATCACCTTCGTCAAATTTTCCTTGGGGTCCTCCTATTTCCCCTTTGTTCATTAAACCTTTTATATTTTGTTCTGAAAGATCTAAGTCTTCCATTGCGTAAACTAGTTCATCTAGTTCATTCATTATTAGGTTTTTCTTCTGTTTTTAAAATTTCTTTTTCTTTTTCCAACTCTATTTCTAGAACTTCTTCTCCAGATTGCTCTATTTCTTTTTTATTTTGATTTTCTAAGAAGTCATTGATGAGCTTTTCATCTAAACTTCCTTTTTGATATGAACTTTTGCCTGCAAACCTTTTTGCTGAGAGTTCATTTATATATTTTTGACTAACCTTTTTGTCAAACTTTTCTGTTTTTTCTATTATATTTGTAATTCTTCCTGGTATATTTTCTTTAAAAGATGTTATTTCTATTTCTATTAGCTTTAATCTTAAAGCTATTTGTTTATGACTTTCTTTTAAGTCATTTAATAAGTCAACGACTTCTCTTAAACTCATTTTTTATTCTGAGAAATAATAATCAGATGTATCCATATAGTTTCCTACTATTTCTTCTATGTCGAATAATATATATTCCATAGGGAATTCTTTTCTATATTCTTCATCATCTATGATTTGAACTATCTTTTCTCTTATATCATTATTTAATTTTTTCATAACAAGTATATATATATATATATATGTATTGCTTCAAATATGTGGAATAGTAAATGAGAAAAGGATAAAAGTAAGAATAAAAATAATAAATGAGAAGGGGACAAAGGTAATTTGTGATAAGATAAAAGTAATAAATTGAAGTACAAAGACAATAAATAATAAGACAAAAGTAATAAATTGAAGTACAAAGACAATAAATGATAGATAGGACAAAAGTAATAAAAGGAGCACGGGTGCAAACTAAGGAGCTCTCAGGTAAATACTTTGGGTCGTAGGTCCAAGGTAAATATATTGAGTTGGGTCCAATTTGGTAAATATTTTCCCTAGTGGGTCCAATTTGTGTAGTTTTCCCTTTTATTTGTTGTCTTGGTACTTCAATTTATTACTCTTGTCGTATCATTTATTGTCTTTGTACTTCAATTTATTACTTTTGTTTATTATTTGTTGTCTTTGTGCTTCAATTTATTACTTTTATCCTATCACTGATTACTTTTATCCACTTCTCATTTATTATTTTTATTCTAATTTTTATCAATTTCTCATTTACTATTATGTGAAGCAATAGTATACTGTGTAGTATATATTGTGATTGGTATCATGCAATAAGTAAACATTTCTTTTCTTAATTTTTGGTTTTGTTGATTTGCTTGTGTACTTTTATATATATTGTTGTGGTATCAAGCAATAACTTAGAAGTGTGTTGCTTGAAGGACTAGTCAAGGAGTATATAATACTCTGATAGTATCAAGGCGTATAATGAGTAGTGTTTTCACATTTACTCTGATGGTATTAAGGTGTATAAGCAATATTTGAGCAGTCTTTTCATTAAAGTACTGTCTATTCCTCTTAGATGCCATAAAAGTATACATATACTCTAATGGTATCAAGGAGTAACTGAGTAGGGTTTTCACCGAAACATTGTTTTCTTCCCCTTTGATACCATCAGAGTATATACAAACTTTGAATGGTATCAAGTAGTAACTTAGTAGTGTTTTAACGGAAGCACTGTCTCTTCCTCCTTCTCCTTGATACTACTAGAGTATATGCTCTTATGGCATCAAACAGTAATTTAGTAGTGTTTTCACTTAAGCACTACCTCTTAATTTCCAAAAAAAAAAAAAAAAGTTAACAAATTGATATGTTTTATTTTCAATGCTAGATTTGATGGTTTATAGCTTTGCTACATTTAGAACAATTGGGTTGATGATTTATCTGTGGGTCAATGAACCTATTAGCTCTTAATATTTGAAGGAGTAAGAGTTCACATAACTGTACATCAAAAGAGATTATATAGTATATGCTTTTATTTACTTAATAAGTTGTAGTAAATGAACATAGCATTTCTACTTCCAAAGTTTAATTGAAACTACATTCACTTCACAGAGAACAAATCGTGGAAGTGATGAATTGTCAATAAAGATGGGGAATGACAAATGGAAGAAGAAGAATACGAGGAAGATAGAGAAGTTAGTCGAGAATGATGAAAATAATAATATCATTGATCATGATGGAAAGCAGTTGGTTCTCTGCATTGAAAAATTGCAAGAGTTACAAGAGGAGTTGGAGAAGATTAACAAAGAAGCGAGTGGTAAGTTGTTGAAAGTTGCACAAAAGTACAATCGGATCCCTGCATTAGTAGTTAAAAATAGAAGGAGTATGAAAGTAAGGCGGTAGCCGCTTGTAAATAGTTTTCCTTTTTGGGGTACAAGTGTTCTTTTCCCTAAATGAAAAAGACAAAAAAGAAGAACAAAAGGAGCATTGGTCCGTGTAAACTAAGGGGCTCTCGGGTAAATACTTTGGACCGTGGGTCCAATAAGGATAAATATATTGTCCAATTTGGGTAAATACTTTCCCTAGTAGGTCCAATTTATGTAGTTCTCCCCCTAATTTTTGACACTAGCATACTAGTAAGAGACTCATTCTCGTGAACTACACATAAAGGCAGAAACAAGAATTCAAAACCATAACTCTTCTTGGAACCATTATTTTTTCCCTTCATATAATAGATCTGTTTTAGCATAACATATAAATGCAATGTTTACCGGGAACAAGCATCTTCAACTACAAAGAATAAGGATACAAGTTAACCACTAATCCCTTGAAACTGCTTTTGGGAGATTTATAGGCATTTAGCACAACCTATGACGAATAAGGATACCACTCAATGATTAATCATTGATTCAAGATTAATTCTTTGAAGCTTCTTCTTGAGGGAAAAATATTTGTCGCACCAGTTTAGAAAAGTGAAAACTAGTTACTTCTAAAAAGTTTGACTTTTCAGTTAGCCAAAGTATCGAACTTTAACACCAAAAATCGACAGACAATACGGTTTAGTTTTCTTATTTTTATGCCCACCCCACCGCAAAGTATTTCAAACTGCAATTTTGCTCAATAAACATGGCCAAAAAGCAACTGCAGTCACAATCTAAATTTAAAATGAAGTTACAAGAATCAATACAACTGAAAATGAGCTAGAATCAATATATATATATATTGAAGAGTCACATAGCTGACCCCAGCTAATTTGAGACTCAGATGTAATTATAGTTTACACAGAATGGATGAACCCACTTGAAACAATGATTAAACCCCAGCACATCAACAAAAGTGTAATTTAAAGTTAAAGTTGTAGCTTTAAAAACGGTTTGGCAGAAGTCCATGAACTTAGCTAGGGAAAGTTTGGCAACAAAAGGAGAAAACCAAGGAAAGAATGTACCTCTTGAAAATCTATACATTTTCTTCCTAATGTTTCTTCACTCTTTGCAAACTTCAATTCAGATACAAAGCATTCAGCATGATGGCCATTGAAAAACTTGGGACCATAACCATAGTTCTGCCTTGGAGGAATGCCAGCTCCACTATCATATTGCCAGTGACCCTGGCCAAAAGCCTTCTCTGGTTTGGTGGTTAGTGTTAAGTGTAGGGGGTAAAACTGCAAAAGAGAATGAGAAAGAAGAGTTTAAACAACGAGCGACCAGATTAATGGAATATCAATCTAAATGGTGGAAATTGAAACTAATGTTAATGTTAATAATGTATGAGCAATTTTTTTCCGTAGACACAAGTTGAAATGAGTACGGAAACATAGGCTTTTCCTTTGAAGTTTCTCATTAAGCTAAAAGACTGTTTCTTATAACACACAGTTCCAAACCAATCACTAATTATTCAAGTGTAACAGCTTATACAACAGAGTATCAATCTAGTCACATCTCCCTGAGTATTAAGTATACTAGGACATTAAGTAGCTTTTTCAGGAAGCAAAAAAGTCAAGGTTATCTAGACGATATTTAAATTCCTGTATATTTCTACTTTAGATCTTCTCATAAAAACAGCAAACATGACTCATGTTGGCAATTTGAATAATTTAGGATTTCAAAAAGAGAAGACATTTTCTGCTTAGAATCATGAATATCTACAACTCTTTAATAGCTTTTCACTATGCCAATTCTCTTAAACAGCAGATTGAGTTCTCTGTGAGATTGAAGAATTTAAATACAATGAATGTACATCACCAAATCCAAAAAACTCACTCAATGACACCTATGACTAGAATAATAGTATTAACAAGCTACTTCAGTACCACATATCAATCAGAAGCACAATAACAACAATCGAATACATTTCGTTGGAATCTATTCTGTTTCACAATAAGAACAATAAGTTTCATTAACAAAAACTAAATTATTCAAAATGCAAATGAATCCAAACAGTTGCTATTCATGGATTGAAAAGCATGTGCTGATACCCCTTGTTCACTTTTCTGCTCCTCAATTAAAACGTGGAGGCTTAAAGATTCCAAGAAAATAATTCCTTACTCCCTTGTCTGTTTCTTCATGAAAAGGGTTAGGGAAAGAATTCAAGTGTTATTCAGCATCGACAACCAACCCATATGGAATCCAAAACTAAAACAGAACAAACTTTCTCCAAACCATGTTTATTTTCTCCGAGTTGAAGAAATCAAACTAACAGATTCAAAATCATCAAAGTTCCAAAAACCAAACCATTAGAAGCATCTAAAGTATACCCCATCAATCAGCACAAACAAAAAGCAAGTTTAAATGTCCAAAAATCAGCTCGAATCCTACAAGCAAAGTGTTCAAATCAATCAAACAGAGTTGAAACTTGCAAAGTCCCAATACTCAACCCTAAAAAACAATTCAAAATTACACTCATTTCTCAAACCAACCAAAACCCCAATCCCAAATATCCTAAACCAAGCTCAAAACCTAGAAACAAAGTGTTCAAATAAGACCAACTGAAGCAAAAACCTGAAAAGTTCCAAACTTTAACCCTCAAACTACTTCAAAAAATAAACCCATCTATCAAACCACTTCAACATTGCAGCAAAATGTTCATAAAAATAAATTATCAAATTACCGGCAACTGAAAAACCGCTGTTGGAAAGAGTTTTAACATAATCTTCATCATCAGACCCAAAAAGGTCCTTCTCGTCTTCTTCATACTGATAACACCCACTACTAAATAAACAACGTAACATGGAACATTTTCCTTAATAATCAGAAGTCAAAGTCATGTGGATTGGTATAAATATACCATAAAAAAGTTTAAAAGATGATCACAATTTTATTTTTTTTATGATTTGGTAGGTGGGGATGAGAGAAATATGTTGATGAATGGTTATAAAATGATGATTCTTGTGAAATAATTATTCTTACTTACTTCTTACCTCGATCGTGGGAAGAGTTGTTTGTAGCCTCCGGGAAGTTGTAAGTAATTTTTTTATGGCGAAATAGTCTAATGGATCATTATATTTGTATGAATTTATATTCTGAACCCTCTTATTTAGGGTCCGTTTGGCCATGCGATATAATATCATGATATGGAATCATGATATGGTATCATGATATGGAATCATGAGATGAAATTAAAGGTTTGTTTGGACATGCGATATGAAATTTTTGTGTTGTATATTTTCTCATAAACATAAAAACCCCATAAGTTGTAAAACTATTAAAATAGCCCCAATTGTTTATTCAATCTTATCAAATAAACAAAAAATTATAAAATCGCATAATAAATTATTACAAAGTTATTTGTTCTTCACTTAAGTAATTGTTTCATCTAACTTTAATTT